CGTGTCGAAAAGGCAGGCGGACCGCTAAAGGTGCGGGACGATGCGAGTTCAGCAGCGAGGGGTACGTCCCAGTAGCCCAACAGGACCATACCCGCGTTGCCCGCGTCGGCACGCCCGTCCCATCGCCGCCTGCCTCTAGGGGGTTAGCGGTGAAGAAGGAAGTAGCGATGAGAGTCGCACCGGAACCAACGAGGAAGGAAGTGGACCTATTTTCCAGGCGCTGGGCCTTTTCTCAACCTTTTTTTCATCCCTGCACCACTGATCACCTCTACCTTCAGTTCTAATAGGCTGCCTTATCATCATAAACTCCGCCTTCAAGGAATACTACCGACTTGAAAAATGTAAAAACAAACCAAATCACATTTTTCGAGTAGGTGAAATTTCTGCCCCAACCTACCTGAGACAAGGCAGCGACGATTTTTGATTTTCCCTTCGATGTTCGAGAAGGAAGGGCGATGATTGCTTTCCCTTTGCCGTCATAAGTCGTGGATGCGGATGAGATGAAGTCCACCTGACCACCGAATCCTACAATTCCAGAAGCATTTTGAAGCTGCCGAGGTCATCACAATTTAATGGGGACTAACCAGAGTAGAATGTGCCCCCGATCGAATCAGACGCAACCTGTCCAGTGAGATCAATTTCGATACACGCATTTATGCAAGTCATTTTTGAATTTGCTCGAATGACTTCGGGTCGATTGGTCCATTCGCAGCTCTCGAAATCTAAAAAAGGATGATCAGTTGTTCAAGCGATATTGGTTGTTGAATATGACCGTACAATCGCAAAGGTTGACGTACTTGTAAGTGAGAATACGGGCAGAAGAGGATTAAAGGCGTGTAATTTGTGAAAAAGTGCGGAAGCAGCGCTTGACCCGGCTGGTGACTGGGGCAGCTCCCACACAGTTGAAATTCAGTTCCTCTAATTCATCTCATTGTCAAGTACACCAACTTTTCGTTACTCAATTAGAGGTCCAATGGTACTGAAATTATCTGGCAGGACAAAAGATGGTACGTGTGCTGGGTCTCTTATGTTCTTGTATAGACCAGATCGCATTCAAAATACGACTTCGATTTTGAATGGGAGTGAAACGCATGGCGCATCCTAGACGGGGCTGATAAAGGATGAGCGCTTCAGCAATTCCCACTGAGAGACCCGCTGAAATGTAACGGTCCAAAAGAGAAAAAAATGGTGATTGCTCATGCACTTGGGCACACAAGGAGCAATAAAAACAAGGAGTAGACTTGTTTTTGTTTGTTAACTGCTGTTTTTGGCCGCAGTTCGCCTTGCGAATGTTTCACAAGAATGCTGGGTTGTGAACAAAACTTTCGCCCCAGGCGGGACTAGAACCCGCACCTCTCGCTTTCCGGGCAAGTGCGCTACCAGTTACGCTACCGGGGCACCATTTCATCCCAACTCAGCTTTTTATGGTATAC